GACCTTCTCCGTTTTGTAGTATCTCTATTAAAAGTTTAAATTTATATTTTATAGCAAACATCGAATCGTTGTGATTAAAATTCAACAAATACTAACTTCTCTTCTAATACTAATACTAATAATATCCTACGTGAGTGCGTGCGAAAGTTCTTACTATCGTAACATTTGCATTTAAAATACTATTTCAATTAGGTAAGTATCTATATGAACTTAATTGCATGCTCGCCGCATATTAAACAGTTATGACTGAACTAGCAACTGTTATTGAAGACAACTATCGACTTGTCTTCAATAATATAAGTCGAATCCCGCACAAAACTTTGGTATGGTCTACGCATAATTGTTTCGGCTCTTTGTTTTTTTTATGTGCAAGTTATATATGTAAACATCACGGAACACCTTTTTTTTTAAGAAGAGATTATTGAACTGAAATAAGTTTTGGGAGAAAAGATTTTATTTACGAGTCCACCTGGTGGTATAGGTGGCTCCTGCAGCTCATGGACTCCTCCAATTAACTTTGTTAACAGAGAAAGATATATATGTGTTGTCTGTTATAATAATATTCTTCAGACAGAATTTCGGTCATGACGGCCAGTCTCATCGGCGACCAGCCATCTGCGCAGAACAGTATTATAGTGCCCAAGTGAATGCGCAAGCACAGGTGCACTCTCCATTCCCTCGCTGTCATAGTCCGATGGAATGGTAATTTGACTTGACCGGATAGAGAACAGGCGCAGGACCAACTTCTTCTCCGGTCTGCTATTGAGAATTTCTTATCAGAAAAACTCAATAGATGATTTTGTCCTGACCCGGGATTCGAACTCATGATCAGCAATCGCGTTTACGACCACCAGACCAACGAGGCAACCAAAGAGGTTTTTTTTTATAGGATAGGGTGACAATCGAGCACACAGTCCACCTGATGGTAAGTGGTTGCTGTGGCCCGTAGACATCTACATCTATCCTCGATTACGAATCAAAATGCAGATGTGTTGCCACCCGTGAGGACTAAGATGGAATGCCTCGTTTCCAGTAAAATGGGTCGCCGGTTCTTTACACTCACCATACGAAATACAGCAGCATTAAGCTACTATTTCACGCAGGTATTCTGTGAGAGCGTGGTCCTTCCCACGGTCGAGCCGACCCATTCGTGTTACAACTATACATCTAATATAACTGCAGCATGGCTCTACCACGTATGAGGTCTTTGGTCGTTGTCTAGTGTCAGCTATAAATATATTATCTCGATTCGTTTGTAGACTAAGATGACGTCTCACTCTCACATCACACTTCTATCACACTTTCTAACCCTTCAAGGTAAATATTAGAATCAGGAGCTATTTTGCGGAAATCCATTATATTAACCACTTTTAAAACTAGAACACAAATTACCGTAGTTTCAAATTATGTCGTCCGTAAGTCTCGCTTTGTGTATGTAAGTATATGTATTCAATTAATTCTGCAAAGGGATCTTACCTACTTTATAGGTAATTAATTAATTTCCCCTCCTCTTGTTGCACTCGGAAATGTATCTAAGTCTGTTAAATTAGCAAAATGCCTGTATGTGAATTTGTGAGAACGCGTTTTAATGGGTTGTAATTAAACTTACGGATTACTACGTAATAGCTTTTTGAATATGATTTTTGTTATATTATTTGTTGAATATTATCATTATAAAACCAATTACATTTATTAGTTAATGACTGGAAAATGTGAATGGAAAATATATAGTACAAATTGAACGTCAGGACATTTTTACATGTGTGTGTGCGCGTGCGTTCGTGTCAAAGCTAAAAAACGTATATATTATAGTAAAAGATGCTGCATATATTCAAAGCTATATGGAATTGAAAAGCTATGAAGTATGCAAGCAGTGGGCTTGTAGAATTTATCACTCTCGTTTATTGTCCCAAAGGTATCGTAAGTGTGGACAGCGAGATTGAAAATTATATCCACCACCTATTTGAATGGTGTCGATAAAGTCCAGTGAGATATTTTTTTCGTTAAGTTAAAATGGCTTTGGGGAAATGACTTAGAAAGCTAAATAAATTTAAAAAAGCTACTCAATAATCCAACAACCCTTTATTTAAATTCCAAATTTAGTCATAAAACCTTTCAAACAGAGAAAAATGCTAAATATATATTTACAATTGATTATTTGTACTGACGTGTAATAATATAAACAAGTCATCTTACAAGTTATTCTTACACTCATTACAAACATCTGTCGGTTTACATGATACATAAAACACCTTACGTAATAACTGGCTTGATATTATTATCTAAGCATTGGACTGATCATGCTGTAACAGCATCGGATGTCACATGCCAGGCATTATTCAAGAGCGAAGGCGTATTGTGTGTTCGTTCAATTTTTAAGATAGCTTGCTAGCTCTAACGTAAAATTTACGACTGCATCACTTTAATGGTTAAGGGAGCAGTCTGATAAAATACGGGTTAGTAATATAATATGGATGACTTCACACCACCACTGCGACATGCGCTAAACACAGAACGCGCATTTATTTATTGCGTTTCGTCTTTAAGTCCTAGCTGAATCCTGGCTGGATTTGTGCAAGAGTAAATGTTAAGTTTTCGAGACCGTATCTGGGGGTTGGGGGGGGGGGGGTGTGGCGCCTATTTTTTGCCCTCTTTTTCTTTCATTTTCAAATCAAAAAAAAAGGAAAGGTGTAAAAATATATATAAAAAATTAAAATAGGGGGGGGGTTTTCGTTCCTTTCTTTTTCCTTCTACCGCTTTTTTTTTTTTTTTGGGTGTTTCTGGGGTTCCCACGTTTTTCCTTTTGCGTATATATTAATATGTGAGGGGAAAACTCTACCCCTTTTTAAGCATATCATATTGCGCTCACTGAGGAGCGTGAGATTTGACATAGTCAAAGCTTTTATGAAGAAGGAGTGCAGAAAACTATTATTTATTTTAAATGTGTTGCATTAAATTTAATAAAACATAGATATATACTATTTTACGTTCATATTGTCAATGTCAAACACATTATTGTCGCTTGAACAAATTATGCCCTTTGTGACGTTAATACTGCTAATGCTTCAGAGTAGGTTCCAAAAAGTATACGAGTATGCAGTGCAACCTCGATAAAAGGAAACCGAAGGGAATTAGAAAATATTTGTTTGACTAAGTAATTCCAGTGGCCAGTAGCGTGGGTTTTTGCCGCCCGGGGCCAACCGAAACTCTTCCCCCCATATTTTAAATATTACTTTAAAGTTTAAATATTTTATTCAACGAACCTAATGTACATCGTACAACTTATTGAAAGTCAATATAAACAACTGCTTCGGAAGGAACATTCTTTGGGACGAAATGGTGCAAGAAACCCACAGGAAGTTTATCTTTTAAAATGCCAGAAAATGCAGTTTAAAAAGCATAACTTTACTAACTTAATGCTAGGTACATACAACAATAAATAATAATAACAAGTATTCAAGTATTTGTTTGCCAATTGAGTGTACAATTGGATCTTAAATTATACATAGTGCTCATCACTTGGAAACCTCTACAGGTATAGCAAAAAAGTGTAACTAGAGTAGAGATCTTAACTTAATAAAATTAAAAGAACAAGAACAAGTTATACTTAAGTACTCTTACTTCGGATTTACTATTCATATTTTACACTTAAAACTTTCAAAGTTTGAGAGAGATTGAGAGGTTCTATGGGCAGCTGTGTACGTAATCGTTGGAACCACACGCAAGTGCGAGTAACGATCCGAGAGCAAGTCTTATCCGACATTATACCGATTCCGTATAACTTACTACGTACGTTATTCCATATAACGGGCGCTAGTCAGAGCGAAATTAGAATGGCTCTTCATCACCTTAAAAACGGCAAGGCCCCAGGTAAAGATAATATTACAGCGGAGCTTCTGAAAGGGGTTGAAAACCAGTACTTATAGTCAAAGGTGCGAGACGTTCTGGTACTGTATTTGTTCATTTGGCTGCCAAACGTGATAATTAAGGCAAATCCTCATTATGATGGGATATGCTCTTGTCCATCAGTAGACTTTCACTAGCTAATGATGATCATGTTTTAATGAAAGTCCTGGTAGATATTCCCATGTAAACCACATAAAATTGTTATTACTTTTGATAGATAGCGGTGTAACTATTTAGATTATCTCACACATACAATATACAGATTGGCGAATGTCAGCAGCGACAAAGGTGCAAAACGTCAAGATATTTGTAGATAATTCACAATATCCTTTGTCTGAAATCGCTACCATAAGAACCATGAAGGGATGTAAATATAAATATGAAATATAAAATTACACAACATTCTTTATTTGTTACCATTGAAAACTTATGTACGAGTATAATACGTTCTGCGGTAGTAACGATCCCCTACCATTGCTACAGTGTTTAGTATGGAATATGTATAGGTTATTTTACAAAAGGAATTAATATACCTACATATTATGTAGAAATTAGTGCAGCTTGTCATTATTGAAATCTCATATTTTCAATTTTCGGAATAGTATCATTTTACGAAATCTTTATCTTATCTACGCCGATGAATAACTTGTTTTTTCAAGACAAGTCTGTGTTCCATAAAATATAATGTGATGAACAAATCTATATTAAATAAAATACTAAATCCAATTGCAACGGATTTTAACGTAATTTATGAAACTGGCATTAGGAAAAAAAATCTATACGCTACAGCTAAAATTGAAAGTAGGTGTACGTTTTAATGTCTGTGAAATATATTTTAAAGGGTTAATATGAAAATGGAACTACATGTATGTTTAATTTTACTATGTATTCTCTTACCTAAAATTTCAATATACCTGGTGAATATGTGATACTTAATTATGTGAACATCTAATGATTTCTTATATTTACGCGAACAATACACATTTAAATAATACTAGTTTTTACGGGTTATATCGCGTATATTAACTTTTTATTCCCGACATTTCATTCTTGGTATAAATAAATGAATAAATGTATTATTACGGTTGTTGCAGAGGGGCGGTGTGTGAGTGCCGCACCGCCATGTCGCATCACAGCGACGAGCAAGCGCTGCTGACGGGCGCGTCCGACTCGTTCTGGGAGCCGGGCAACTACAAGCGCACCACACGGCGCATCGACGACGGTCACCGGCTCTGCAGCGAGCTGCAGGCGCTCGTGCAGGAGCGCGCCGACATCGAGAAGACGTACGCGAAGAGCCTGCGCGGCTGGGGCAAGAAGTGGAACGACCTCATCGAGAAAGGTAATATGATTTGTAAGAAAAAAAGATCAATAAACAATCATTTCATTCTGGCAGATTTCTGTTCGTTCATTCGACACTGGTGCGTTCGCTGTTGACAAAAGAGCCAGCAGTCATTTTTCAATGAGGGCTAATAGTCATAATACACTCACCAGATGTCAAACTCAGCTGAGATGTCATATAATGTCATCATTATTGAAAAGTTACGTTTTAAACAAAAGTTTTTCGGCTTTTGATTTATGCATATAGACAAAGCAATGCTTCGGTGTCTTTTGATATTTTACACCTTTATTAATCTGTTTTAATTCTTCTACTTTTATAAATTCCCGTGGTTTGGTTAAACGTTTCTAATCCAATTGATATAAAAGCACTGATCTCTATATATGCACGTACTTGTATATATTGAGGTCAGTGTATAAAATATTAAGAATATTTCAAAAAGAAATATTAATTTTTCTTTTTGAAATATTTCATGTAGCCTGCGTGTTTTCGTTCTTGTGCTGTTAAATGCATAAACCTAGCATCTCTGTCTGAGTAGCAAAAAATTATCATTTGATTGACTTATAACAGCATTCAACAATCACGTTATATCGTTTTTAATGAACTAAAAAAAGCGGAGGTTATCATTTCGCCTGTATGTTATTTTCTAAATGCGTGTCACGCGATGGTTTTCTTCTATTATAAATCTATTTTGATAATTCTTTTTTTATTTATATGTTATATATACTTCGATGGTGAATAATTATGATGGTAATTTGAGGAAAAATTCAACCCCTAAGGATGGCAAAATAAGCGATGAGGTTTATAATGGAAAGGCGATGTTATGATTGTGGTATTCCTTAGTCAAATCAAAAGAGTAAGAAAATAACTTTATCGAAAATAAAAGCCGGCTTCAAACAACGAAAAATAATAAAATAATTTGGTATTATGTCAGGCTTTAAGTAATTCTTCGTGATAGCTATTTTATTCGTTTTAGTTGTTTGAAGTCGGCTTTAACTCGTCATTAAAAGTAAATGTTTGCCAAAACAACTTTTCACTCGGCGCAGTTTCGCAGACTCCATTTATAAGTAATATCATTAAAACTACCACCCACGACGGCTCACCGATAGCACTATTGAAATACGAGAATCGCTTCAGTGTCTTTTTTATTTTGATTTCAACTGTCTTTAATGGGAGGGCTCAAGATTTGAAAGAAAGCTTTTACCTCTATCATTAGTTGATGCTATCTCGGAGTGATTTACAATTGGTTTAACTTCTTTCTTTTTTAAGTAAAACCGCAATAGACAGAGTCCGCCTAATGCTCATGTTGTAATCAAAATGCAGATGCGTTTCACCTCTGAGGACTAGGATGGAGTGCCTTGTTGTTAGCAAAAAGGGTATCTGGTTCTCGTCACTCACTATACAAAACAGTAGCATTATGCTGCTATTTTACGCTGATATTCTGCAACGTGGATCTGCACGTAAAATAATTAGATGCAAGCCCTTGTTTGTTTGTTATTGATTAATTGTATATATATGTATTGTCTTATACCTAGTTTGATGAGCGCCCATCCTCCCTCAATTTCGTACACTACTATCCCCGTCACCACAAATCTGAACACCACTACACTGGCAGATATTGTCACTTTAAACTAAGTACCTACGCAAAACTTATTGCTTTATTTTTTATCAAAAACTATAAGTAGAAAAGTATTCGCCTGTTCCGACACCTTATAAAGATTATAATAATGAAATGTTGTAGCCTAGCATTTCAAAGTGTACCAATCCTCTTTAAGAACGTACACTGCGCAACTGCTTACAAGAACTAAACAGTTTAATGAAATTAAGTTAATGAGAAGAAGATGAAGTTAATGAGTTATTGAAACAGTGTTTGCATCTTCAAAATTTTCTTATACCTAATTCAATAAGTACAAAACTAATAAACCTTTTGCCCTTAAATCTTAACAGGATACCCTTTGACATCTCTCTTAAGGCCGGACGTCCCTTTGTGCCTTTGTTTTATTGTATATTGATCGGAGAATAGAGCTCTCAACTGCCGGCGGCGATTACGAGATCGCTGAGCGATACAAAACTTACAAAGACGTCTTTAAAGTTCGGCATTACTAATTTTATCTTTATTTAATTCAGTCCATTGTGATAAAGAGGCTTTGTTAGATTACGTAAATTGTTCTAATTATATTTTATCTAATATTATAAGAAAAGTTTAATCGGCAGTTTAAAAAGCCACACCGCATTTTCACATTCGTGAGCCTGGATGGTTCTTATTGCCAGATTACCACACCTTATAATAATAATAATGTCCTCCAGACCGAATTTCGGCCACGGCGGCCTGCCTTAACGGAAACTAGCCATCGGTGCAGGACAGGATTATAGTGCCCAAGTGTATGTGTGCGCAAGTACAGGTGTACTCTCTATTCCCCCACTCTCGTAATCCGATGGGACGGTAAACCGACACGACCGGGAGAGAGATCAGGCGCAGGACCAACGGCTTTTCGTGCTTTCCGAGGCACGGGGGTGAGACACCGCCAACTTCCTGACTTCGGGCAGCTACTGAGAATTTCTTGATAGAAAAACTCAATAATACCACCTTATATACGTAGTAGAGCCACTCTGCAGTTATATTACGGTTGTATCACGAATCGGTCGGCTCGAATGGGTAAGGACCACACTCTCACTGAATACCAGCGCAAAATAGCAGCTTAAGGGGAAATATAACCTCAAATGGCTTAGCAAGATCCTCCGTTATGCCGAAAGTATTGCAGCATTAATTTTGAAATAAATATATGGTAAAGTTGAGGATTAATGTTAAGGTTTATGTTAGACGAAAACACGATTCCGTAAAATTTTCTCGATAGAAAAAAAATCCAAAGTTACCTCCAAACTGAACAATAAACCGCTGTTATTCATAAAATACTTTAAATAAGATCATAAAACTTTGCATACTAACTGAACTAACCATAAAGCAGTGCTTATGTTATTTACTTTTTTTTAAATATCATTATTTTCACTGTAAAAAAGAAATTACCTAAACTATCGGCGCGTAAGCTTGGTTCCTGTCGCTCCGTTAGTATTGCTCCGGCTTTTGAAGGGAGAAGTTGTGTCGCTTACGATCAGAAAACACATTACGCAACAGGAAGACGTAAAATTAAAATGGGAAATAACCGTTATAAAAATAAGAAGCGACTGGGTTGGCGTTAAGAAACAGGCATATATATGATAAACATAGTGAAATAAGTATCTAACGACCTATCTACTTAGAGTATTAGTGATTACAAACATGTCGGTACATAGCATACGACGCGCGGGGAAGTGGGGACGAAATTAGAATTTGAGCTGACTTACTCTCACCTCTTAATACTGCTGTGTTTCGTAGTAGTAGTTTCGGAGACACTCTTTTTCTAGAAACGAGGCATTCCATCTTAGTCCTTAGGGGTGACAACGCACCTACGTTTTGATTTTTTAATCGAGGATAAGTTAGTGTAAATGTCTATGGGTCACAGCATTCACTTACCATCAGGTGGACTGTGTGTTCGTTTGTCACCCGTGTTCTATAAAAAAACCTTATTCGGTCAGTGTTGAGTTTGATGACGTCTTACTAAATTGATTAACAAGTAGTAATTGGTAGGACTTGTTTCCGCCCTGGAGTTTGTCTGTGTATATACCACCCTCTTACCTGTTCCTGCCGCCAAATAGCAGTGCGTGCTCCGCTATGATATATATATTTCCGGCCTGAAGGGTATAGAGAGCCACAACATATATGGGCTGTAAGCATTGAGTTATATGTACTACGTACTAGACAAGCTATTCAAAAAAACAAACAAATGTGTACCCTGTCTTCGCGCATACTGTCTTCGGGATACTGTAGTCGCGCATGCGCAGTTGATATAAACGCGCGAAAAGTGTCATAATTAATAATTGTTTATTATTTAGATTGTATCGAATTGAGTACATTTTTTTAAATTTTCTTTTATTTTGCATATGTGATAATTTAATATAAAATTATTATTAGCGCCGCTCCACGCTGCATGACTATCGAAGCCACAATAACAGGTGTACGGATTGCAGTACAGTTGAACATAGTGAGTGTTCGGAATGCAAAATCTAGCGCGTAGTACATATATATCGATGGCTGTGAGGCATTCCATCGCAGTCATCAGATCTGACAACGCATCTGTAGCCTTCTTTGTTTAATATCGGTTGCGGGTGTCCGTGGCTGCAGTAGCCATTTACCACCATCTAGTGGATTGTAAGTTTGTTTCTTACTTCAGTGTTATAGAAAGAAGTTATACAAGTTTCCCCGGCTAACAGAATAAATATATTGCCGTAAAACTACAATTATTTTGGACCTATTTTTATACAATTTATTTTATTTATTCTTTATTGTAAACCAAAATATCAGAAAAAAGAGTAGAGTGCAATCTAAAGTATAGTATGTACAATGAGCGGGTGTACTACAAGAATGATAATCCGCAAAATATGCTGGCAGACTTAATAACCATTGAATTATTATTGTGGAAAAATTTTCGCTTTAATAAAATAAATATATTTAGTATTTTATAGAAGTTCTTTGAAAAATTCAATTGACAAATTTTTTCATGCCACTTTGTCAATCGACAATTAAAATTTTAATTTAATTGCGGCGTTTCATTGAAGGGGAGGGAAAAATCTGACCATCAGTTGTCCAAAGTTAATAAAAAAATTGGTTGAGCCTGCAGGCCATCCCTGGAACTTCCCGCTAATTTCAATATCTAAGCGTTTAATATTCCACTTATTATGACGGCTTTAATCTTATAATTTCGGGAAATGACGTATTTTTTTTTTCAAATTTGAATATTTCACTAGCAATACACGTTATAGATGTGATTTTCGGCAATCGACGCAATTTTTTCAGCTTAATAAAAAACCTTTTATGAAAATAATTTCACGGAAAGTTTTCAAGTTATTTTGAAAAAAATTTTCGTGATCATTTTGTCAGCTGTATCTCTCGAACGAATCAACCGATT